CTTTTGTTTAAAATTGTTGTCTTTCTCTTCTAAAAACCTCTATTTTATTAGCTAATTCTTTTAACTTCTCTCATCTTTTTTTTTCTGTTTGTCCACTTTAGGAATTATGAAATTAGTCTTTGTTCATTTGCTATAGTAAAAGGAGATAGTTCTGTAAGTGGTTAAAGATTGGGTGGTCTGCCATTTGTACAGGCTGATAAGTCACCAGCCTTCTGTTTACTCTGTTTATAATCTATGCATGTCAAAAGTGGGGATAACTCCTGGCCACCTGCAAAGCTCTTTCTAAACTCTTTGAAGGCCAAGAAAATGGGGAATACTAATACTAGGTGTTGCTAATTTCTTTCTTCTCTCCCTCCCCTATCTGGAACCTAAGCAACTTCTGAGATTTTCCCTTCCCAGGACTCTGCTATACTGATTTGCAGGCTTGCATAAAGGCTGGAGAGAAAAAAGTTTTCATCTCTGCATCACAACTTCCAGGCTTTTGCTTCCTGTTAGCATCAGCTGCTATTTAGGATGTAGAGCAAGTAAAATGGCTGCTTAGGAACTCATTGGCACTGAAAGGCAAGCTGGAGACATTGTTTTGGCATGTTTCTAGATTTCCCTTTATACCTTTTAAATGAAGTTTTACTTCTAGAAGTTTATAAACTTATCTTTGGTTTGCAAGAGAAATAAGATGATTCAGTAAGTACAGGAGAATGGAAAATCTGAATTCCGGGCCTTCTGCAGTTTCAGCTTTATCCTTGATTGGCACTTATCCTTAAATCTAAATTTTCTGAAATCCTAGCTTCCACAGCTTGTCTTCTTTGTTGCAACTGCAAAGTCAAACAAGCAAGCTCAGATAGGAAACTTTAGTGCAACCACATTACAGATATTCCGTTGTAAAGTACCAACACTACTTCTTGCATGGCAATATTGATAACCTCATTTCCTATCTGGTGTTTGAATATGCGTCATTGATGATTTAGAACCAGTAAGTAAAATAATGAGGATTGTAGTGGCATTACTATTGACTTATTCCAGCCTTGCCCCTTCCCTTAAAAATCCTTCCTTCATGTTGTTTTCAGCATGATTTTCCTGAATTGCAAACCTACTCATGGCACTCTCAGGTGTAAAACACTAAAATGCTTCCTCATAGCTTTTAGAGTTTTTTGTTGTCACAAAAAGCAGCTATCTGATTTTTACTTAACACTGTAGTGCTGCCTTTGACTGCCAGAATATAATTTTCAATTTATATTTATTTATTGAATAAGTAGTTCACCCAAAGCAGTGGGAGCAGTTTTGTTCACCTTGAGGACAGGAATTATGCCTAGTTTTACGTGTCCTCACTAAATTTGACTCCTGCTATGTGTTCCATAAATAGATATTGAAGAAAGTAATAGACAAAGGAATAGATACAGATATGTGTTTTTCTGAGATTTTGAGGAGAATTACCTTTATTGTGGTACAACATTTAGATATGCTCATCTGAATAAAACTTTTTTTTTTTTTTTTTTTTTTTGAGATGGAGTCTCACTCTGTCGCCCAGGCTGGACTGCAGTGGCACGGTCTCGGCTCACTGCAAGCTCCACCTCCTGGATTCACACCATTCTCCTGCCTCAGCCTCCCCAGTAGCTGGGACTACAGGCGCCTGCCACCACAGTGGCTAATTTTTTGTATTTTTAGTCGACACAATATTTCACCATGTTAGCCAGCTGATCTCGATCTCCTGACCTCATGATCCACCTGCCTCAGCCTCACGAAGTGCCGGGATTACAGGCGTGAGCCACCATGCCTGTCCAAAACTTAATTTTAAAGAAAATTTTTTTCATAAACATATTTCTTCTGAAATGTCCAGAGTACAAAATATTGTGTTCAACACAATGCGAGAACATATAGTCTGTACAAAATTGCATTTTCCTCACCACTTCCCTCAGGAGTCATGTTTCTTTTTATCTGAATCCACTTGTCCCTGAGGTGCAACTAATCACTATTCTTTATACAGATCTGAGTACAAAGCATTGCAAATACTGATACTCAATTAATTCTTGGGAAGTGCCTCGGTGAACCCTTTCATGATAAAAAAGAATAAAATGTAGTTAGAAAAGGCCTTGAGTTACTTAATTTTGTATTATCCTAGCTTCCTGAAGAACACAAAATTTAATTTACCCCTGTAGTCTAATATGAATCTTATTTTTTAAAATATTGTTTTGGTGCTTTCCTTAGTAATCCATTCTACTGTCTGTTAGTCAGATTATCCTAGAATCTAGTATCTTTAATCTAGGTGGCCTTAGGTATGTTCCATAAAAACTATAACATCAAATTTCTTCATCAGTAATATGGAAAAAATAGCTTTATCCTAATAGGCTTGTTGTGAGGATTAGAAATAAAATTCATGCTAAGTACGTAGAACATTGTCTGGCACTGATTAAGGGCTCAGTATATTTTAGTTATGTTTTTGTTGTTATTGCACGTAACATCATATTTTAATTAGTTGCAAGTTCACAGGAGAATGAATATGGCACCACAGCAGCCAGGGTCAGTGTAAAGAGAAACCCCCAAGTGAGAAATGATTAAGATTGCACATTATACTTCCTTCCCCCTTAAAAGTGCCTTTTCTGATGCATATGTTGATCAAATGAGCAGCCCAGGACCCAAATTCAAATTATGTGTACCTGAATTTTTGAAAATGCATACATTTAAAGATTCCTAGAACTTCCTAGCTAGAGGAAATGATGTCTGTAATGTCTCCCCTAATTTTACCAATGAGAAAACTGAGAACCAAAGAGGATGATTATCTTGATTGAGGTCATGAATAAGCATTCTGACTCCTCACCTGATTCTCTTTCTCTGTCTCTTTCATATATTTAAAGAATATTATTTTAGAATAGTTTTAGATTTACAGAGAACTTACAAGAACAACACAGAGTATGCTGCACGCCCAGTATCCTTGTTATTATAATCTTGCATTACTATGGTATGTTTGTCATAACTAATGAACTAACATTAATGCTTTATTAACTATAATGCATATGTTTTCAGGTATCATGTCTCCATGATATCTTTTTTTTTAGTTGTGCCTCAACATTGTCCATCTATCCAAACAAGAATTGGTTTGGCCTGTGGAGGGCCTCCCCTTAAAATGTCAAATAACTAAAAAAAAGAATGAGAACAATGTTTCACCAAATAGAAAATAACACCAAAAAGTTAGAAATTATTTCAGCAAATAAAATGGAAAGTTTGAAGTTGAAAAATACAATTTCAGTGCTAGAGGGTCTCAACAGTAGATGTGAAGAGACAGAAGAAAGTATAAGCAAACCTGAATATAGGCAAATTAAGAAGATCTAATATGGAACAAAAATGAAAACGAATGTAGAGACGTGAACAGAGCTTCAGATTCCTGTGCAGCATGATTATCATTCTGGCATACACATGATGGAAGTCCCTGAAAAAAAGAAGGGGGAAACAGAATAATACTGCAGGAATAATGGTCAAAAGCTTCCTACATTTTATGAAATACATTTATGTAAACACCTAAGAAGCTCAATGAATTTCAAACAAGATAAACTCAAAAATACCTATACCTAGACATGTATAATTAATTTATCAGAAACCAAAGACAGAAAATTGAAAGCAACAAGAAAAAAGTGTCTCATGATATACAACGGATCCTTGATAATATTAACAGCAAATTCCTCATCTGGGACCATAGGTTCCAGAAGGCAGTGGGATGACTGAAAAGAAAAAGAAGAAGAAATTAAGACTTTACCTGATAAACACCAGTTGAGAGAATTTGTCACTAACAGACATGCCCTACAAAAATTACTAAAGAAGAGTAATTCAGTCTTGAATGAAAGGTCAAATTTAAATCCATATGAAGAAATCCTGTAATCCAAACCATAAACTGTAATCCAAATCCATATGAAGAAATAGAGTACCCTACAACTACTTATGTAAGTATACATATATATACATACACAAGATAGTTAAAACCATTTCATGTAAAAACTTGTACATAAATATTTGTAGCAGCTTATTCACAATAGCCAAATAGTGGAAATAACCCAATTATCCATCAGCTGATGAACAGATAAACTATCATATAACTGCCTTCGATGAAATATTTATCTATAAAAAGGAATAACACATTGGCACATGTTATGACATAAATGGACTTTGAAATTGCTATGCTAAGTGAAGGAAGCCAGGCACAAAAGATCACACATTGTATAATCCCAGTTATATGAAATAACACGAATAGACAAATACATAGGAACAGAAAATAACTTAGTGCTTTTAGGGGCTGAGGGAAAAGAGGAATGGGGAATGATTTCTAAGAGCCACAGGGTTTCTTTTAAGTAAAATAAAAAATATTCTGGAATTAAACAGTGGTGATGGTTGCCACAACCTGTGGCCATACTAAAATCCATCAGCTTGTAAACTTCAGAATAGTTAATTATGTTGTCTTAAGTATATCTCAATTTAAGATGCACATGCACACAAAACAAACAGTCAGTAAATTATAGAAAAAGCTAAAGAAATAGTGGTATATTCATGCAATTGTTTGCTATTTGGAATTATAAAGGAATGAACTAAAGATTCTGACAAGATGAATTTCAAAAAGATTTTGAGGAAAAGAAGTCAAAACGAGAGTACATTCTGTGTTATTCCATTCAATTGAAGTTTCAGTTTAAGCAAACAAAACTATAGAAACATATTAGACACTGGTTGCTTGAAGCAGTGGTGGGAGAATGGACTGAGAAAAGGTATTAGGCAACTTCAGTGACAGTGATATTCTTTATCTGGATTTGTGTGGTGTTTATATAGATGTATACATTAGTCAAAACCGATTAAGGTGTGCACTTAATATCTGTGTATTTTATATAAATTATAAGTCATTACAGTTGATGTATAAAAAAAAGAAAGAACGAGGTAAGAAGTAGTAAGGCCACCTCTGCTGGATTTTGGAAAGCTGGAAAATCTGATGTTGGCAATTAAGCCAAATTTATTCCTTTACTTCACAGGTTTGGGAGAAGAGAAAGTTGTCATTAAATTGACATCACACAACCACAAGACAACTGGGAAAAGGCAGCAATCTATGTCCTTCAGCTTTTGCTAAGATATTCATGCCATGATATTTGGCCTATGTGAGTAAAGTCTGTCTCTTTGGTTATCTGTAAAATTTAAATAAAATATCAATCTATAAAGATTAAGTCATCAAAAATGTACAGCTGTGAAGCTGCAAGTCCTTTTTTGTCAGTATGATGTCCTTTGGGGAGATCTTTTCTCTTGAGATCTAGGAAGTACGTTCATGTATTCTGATACTATATGCTACCAGGATATACATATTCTAGCAGGGATGATCCTCAGTTTGCCCTTGGAATAGAAGTGAAAGAAGAATTGAATGTTTATGCCAGAGAGGATGTCAGATACATTTATTGGGTATCTACCATATGTTTAGCATTTTTGCTGTGTTCTAATTTATTCCTCAAAACTAACCAAAAAAGTGAGTATTCTATTTAACTTTATATAAATTACACAAAATATAATATCTATTTTTAAATATTCCATTTCTATAACTCCCCATGGCATAGGCTGAGGTTTAAAGGGATTATATAACTTATCAAAAAAACACACTTGTAAGTAGCAGAGTTTATATTCAATACTAGTTTTGTTTGACTCCAAAATTTGTCCCCTTACCGCTATATAAGATTCCCTTACAATTGAGGACACTTCTCATGGAGAAAAAAGTTAAGAACAAGAGAAGAAAAGTGCCTTGCTCAAGTACACGTAGCATAAAACTGAGTAAGCTGGAATACCAACAGCAGCCTAATAACTTTAGTTCAGTGATTTTTCCACCAAAGACTCATCAGCAACTGGTAAGTGAGATATACCCACCACACGTAGGACTTCTTAACTCTGGTATGGTTTTTCTGGTGTTTATTCCATGCCTAGATGTTTGCTGATTCTGCAGCCACATCTCTATGGCACCATGTCAATGCCGCCTCTCAGGGATTACAGATCTTCCTTTGTGTATCAATTGACCTTAGGAGCCTTTCCCAAACCAAAAGAAATAATAGAAGAAAGGCTAAATATTCTATTTTCAACTTATTTCTCTTGAAAATGAAACAAAGAGATTTCTGTGGTGAGAATACATATTCAAAAATATAAATCTTGCCAGGGAGTTAGATGTTTTCTTAAGAATGATTTGTAAACATGGATCTCTAATTACACTGACATAGAAGCTATAGTTTCTAAAATAATTGGAAATTAAGTAATCCATTCAGTATAAAATCACGAAATTTGATCCTCTTCAGAAAACTGAGTCAAATTTCAGTGTTCTCTGTCACTCGCGAATTTTTTGTGAGGATTAAATTAGACAGTGCAGGTCAAGCATTAGAACATTGCATGGTACTTAATAAACCCTCAAGAAGGATTAGAAATAATGGCGATAATAATGAGGATGATGATGGTATCGGTAAGGTTCTTCTCAAAGAAATTGTGGAAGAGTAATGACAAATCAATTCAAAGAAAAGCCAAAATTGACAAATGGGATCTAATTAAACTAAAGAGCTTCTGCACAGCAAAAGAAACTACCATCAGAGTGGACAGGCAACCTACAGAATGGGAGAAAATTTTTACAATCTACCCATCTGACATAGGGCTAATATCCAGAATCTACAAACAACTCAAACAAATTTACAAGAAAAAAACAAACAACCCCAACAAAAAGTGGGAGAAGGATATGAACAGACAGTTTTCAAAAGAAGACATTTATGCAACCAACACATGAAAAAATACTCATCATCACTGGCCATTAGAGTAATGCAAATCAAAACCACAGTGAGATACCATCTCACACCAGTTAGAATGGCAATCATTAAAAAGTCAGGAAACAACAGGTGCTGGAGAGGATGTGGAGAAATAGGAACACTTTTACACTGTTGGTGGGACTGTAAACTGGTTCAACCATTGTGGAAGACAGTGTGACAATTCCAAAAGGATCTAGAACTAGAAATACCATTTGACCTAGTCATGCTATTGCTGGGTATATACCCAAAGGATTATAAATCATGCTGCTATAAAGACACGTGCACACGTATGTTTCTTGTGGCACTATTCACAATAGCAAAGACTTGGAATCAACCCAAATGTCCATCAGTGACAGACTGGATTAAGAAAATGTGGAACATATACCCCACGGAATACTATGCAGCCATAAAAAGGATGAGTTCATGTCTTTTGTAGGGACATGGATGAAGCTGGAAACCATCATTCCCAGGAAGCTATCACAGGGACAAAAAACCAAACACCACATGTTCTCAATCATAGGTGGGAATTGAACAATGAGAACACTTGGACACAGGAAGAGGAACGTCACACACTACTGGGGCCTGTCGTGGGGTAGGGGGGAGGGATTGCATTAGGAGATATACCTAATGTAAATGACGAGTTAATAGGTGCAGCACACCAACATGGCACATGTATACATATGTAACAAAGCTGCACGTTGTGCACATGTACCCCAGAATTTAAAGTATTAAAAAAAAATCAAGGATGCAGAGGTTTCAACATTAAATATGTACATTGCTTTAGAGCTATTTTCTGTGTGTTATTTTTAATCCGCTGTTACTCTCAGAGTCTAACTTCACATAGAAAGAACAGTGAGTTAGGAGAAGCAGGAATGTAAAAGGGAGTAGAAGGAACACAGTTATTGCAAAGAGTTACCAATTGTCCACTGTACTTGATACATAAATAAGAAACAACTTTAGTTGATATTTTGATCCTGGTGAAATTATGTTTGGTTATGGGGAAATAAAATAGTTGAAAGAGAAATATAGAAGATTTGAACAATTTGCTTTCTCTAATCTTTTGTATATATATACACACACACCAATCTTAGATAGATTTAGATATATTTCATGTGGTTACACACTGGAAGAGACCCAGGACTCACTCACAGGCCAGGAGTACAATGAAGTGACGGCCACCTATCTGTTCCTTGGCTACGAGAGATCTGAGTTGGAGGACTGCACCATCATTCTGAAGCCCCAGTCTTCAGTTGATTTGAGCAATAGCAGTGTATCTTTCCATCCATAGAGTATGGGACAGCAACTCTGCCAACCCTATACAGCTGAGTTCCAGAAATGCTTCCAGTTCTCACCTTTAATTCCCACTCTCAGAATACCCAAAGTAGCAACGCAGAAAATCAGTGGCCTGGGGAGGACCAGGAGTCAGAGACCAGCAGAATAGCCAATGTGTCTGTCAGGCCCCTCCATGGTCTGGAGAGGAAGAAAAAAACACCCCTCCAAAGCAACGTCTCCACAAGCACAAATCAAAGCAGAAATTTACCACTTTTGGAGAGGGCCAGCCTTGGTGAATTATCCATCCAGAATGGCAAAAACTGCCTAACTATGCTGGCGTTCGGGTCTCTATGGCATCTGCTTCCACCACAGTGTCCCCAGTTCCTCCCAGCCTGCACCAGTGCTTTAGTGCATTATGGCCACTATAACCCAATACCTTAGACTTGGTAATTTATAAACAACAGAAATGTATTGTTCACAGTTCTAGACACTGTGAAGAACAAGATCTATGGCTGTAGCAAATCCAGTGTCTGGTGAGGACTCATTCTCTGCTTCATAGATGGCTCTTTCTCACTGTGTCCTCAAATGGCAAAGGGACAAACAAGCTCCCTCAGGCCTCTTTTGTAAGGGCATGAGTCCCATTCATGAAGGCAGAGCTCTCGTGATCTAATCACTTTCCAAAGGCCTTATCTCTTAATACTATTGCATTGCTTGTATCATATAAATATAAGTTTTAACATATAAATTTTGGGAGGACACAAACACTCATACCATAGCAACCAAGAATCTAAGATGGCCTTGGTTCAGCATAATCCTGCCTCAGACCTGACCCCAGGAGAATACTTGTCTATTCCAATGCCAGGCCCCAGGATGTTCCCGGGTTTGGGCTTATGCTTCACAAACAGCCTTTGCAGTAGTGGTGGTTTCTGACAGAACCAACCTTCTCAGAATGTGTTCAAAGGAAACTTCATTCTCACTGGGATACTCCAATAGAATAGATGCATGACCTGCAGAATTGGCCATATGTTGTGACCCCAGTCTAGGGCCAACTATTGGGAACTTTTTCAGCAAGTTCTCCTTCAAATGCATACACAGAAATCTCGGTTTGACAATGAGAACACATGGACACAGGGAGGGGAAACAACACACATCGGGGCCTGTTAGGGGATGCAAGGGGAGGGAGAGCACCAGGACAAATAGCTAATGCATGCATGCAGGGCTTAATAACTAGGTGACAGGTTGATAAGTGCAGCAAACCACCATGGCACACATTTACCTATGTAACAAACCTGCACATTCTGCACATGCATCCCAGAACTTAAAGTAAAATAAAAAAAAAGAGGAATCTCAGTTTCAGGTCTGCTTGAAACTACCTGAAATAACCAGAAAGCAAAGACCAAGTGAAGATATAGTTTTATGTGGTAGGCAGCGAAGGAAATGATAAAGAAAAATAATTTCTTGAGGCCAAAATGTGTCCACCACACTTTCCATGGAGAATGAAGATCATGAGCACCATGGAACATAAGGAGATGATGTGTAAGGTGGAGAAGGTGCAGGAGGTAAACAGCAGTGTGTGAACCGTACAAGGAGTATATGCCATTTTGCATGCAGGGCTTGCTGGGCCAAAGGCACTTCATGCAGTGGAAGGTGGAGGTGTGTAAACTGCCGTGGTGATCTCTCGGCAGAGTTCAGTTAAAGCAGGTGTCCCAGCACTTTCATGAGAAAAAAGGAGTGGAATCTTTAAAAGCCTTCCAGGATCCTCCTGGGAGACAAGAGGAGGGGGCAGCTGGTGTAGCTGCCAAGTCTGCCACTCAGTCCCTACCTGGGAGAAACTGTATGGATTGAATTGATGGGCTTCCTCAGGGGGCACTTCTCTGCCCTCTGCCCTCCTCTTTCATCTTTGGGAGGGAGAGAAAATGGTTTTGTAGAAATAAACATAGTGCAAATGAAAACAGCCTACCTAGTCAAAGTTGCTACAGCAAAGGAATCAGACGCCATTATTTGCCTTTGGCAGAGATTCCAATGTAGGCAGGGCAGTAGGAAAGCTTTATATTAAAAGAGGA